ATGGAAACGTGACTAAAATTAGACTATAGTGGATGCAAATGATTGTGTCGAGTTAAAATGCCTAAAAGTAGAAAGTGTGCCTAGGCAGAATAAAGGGCGTACGTGATTATAGAGCACTTTCTCTCAACTCCCTGTGTTATCTTCTGCTGACCGTTAGCATTATTTTAACTGTAAGGTAACGCAGTACAACCCCGTAATGCGCGAACGATGCTCCACTGCGGAAAGGAAACTCACTTGGTTCTCCGTAAAGAATCGATACCAAGCTTCAGACCAACTACACAAACGCTGCCCTTCTTAAAGGCTTCTAACCGACTTGCTGTCCGTACCCGCTCTGTGTAAACACTGAGAACGTCTCCGACCGAAATGTGCTGGTTGAACCGTGCACACTTGAGTCATCTACCTGCATTATGCTATTCTTGAAATCTGAACAAATAACGGTTTTTTTTTTACCGGTAACCAGGGCGTGAATGTAGAAACAGCGACACCGATGAGCCCAGCTTGTCGTAGATGCGTCCTCTAGTCGGCGAAACCTGTCTAGACTTTAAGCTAGCAGTGAAGACTGTTCCGTTGCGTTGGCCTTGTCGCGTCTCGATTGATTGACTCGCCGCCATACGTCAAAGTCATTTTACTTTTATTCTGAATACCCTTTAACTTTTTGTCGATACGTTGGTTTGTATACAAAAGGGCCCTGTTGCTGACAGGGTTCGTGTCCTCGGCCAATAAGACATCGACACAATAACCTAGTAGAGGCTGTTCTCATTTTTACGTGTCGCGTTCCTGAAATTGCCAATTTCTGTAAACCGTACCGGTAGAGTCAGAACTTCCCAATTTTTCTGAGTTCATTGTGATTACCCATCACCCCAACAGTCGCTTTGTCAGTTTCGTTTCCAAATCCGCACTTTTTTCTTTAGAGGATGGTTCGGGTGTCAAGGGCTGTCACACAGAAATTTGTGGAGAAAATTACATCAACAGAAAATTATCCTTGTCTGTCAGTTGTAGTATGCATGTGAATGGTCTCTATTATCATCTACAGTGTCAGTAATGGATGCATTTAAAGTCGGCGTTATCGCCCATATTGTTCGGCAGTAAAGCTTTCTTGGTCGGGGCATCGTAGCTCAGTTGGACAGAGCGTTGGCTGTTCTCAAACACTGCACTTGCTGTCATGGGTCCGAACCCTCCCGAGGCCGCTGAGTTGTTCACAATTAGACCCGGTGAAATTTCTTATTCTCGGGCCCTAAGAGAATGCATTTTTTTGCAATATTATGTTTCGTATTGAATGCGCTTTTAAAGCATTTTTTTCCAGGTATAAATTTGAAGCAAGCCAATACCGCAGAATTTATTTGCGCAAATAAATTTTGAGAGCGCTTATCAACTGCGTCCTCTCTGTGCATGAATAGCG